CCTCCAAAACTCTTCTAAATAGTATGCTACGGGACCCTTCTCAGATTCCAGATGGAGTTCTAGCAAATCAAATCTATCAGGTATTAATCACGGGTTTAATTTTTTTTCTTTTATTCTGTGGCAATGCTGTTATCTGCCTAGCAGAGTAAAAGATTTTAAACCTCATTTAATTACTGTCATCGTAAACTATCAGTGAGGTCAGGGTGCACCATAAATGGCAATGCAATATTTGTGAGGGGAGCATTTCACTTTTTAATAGCTTGCTTTTATAGTGAATAAAAGCACAGTTTCTGTTTTCTGTGATTAAATCTGAACAGCACCTGATAGCCTTTTTGAAGAAAAGTAATTACTGGTTTTAAGATACTGTTTAACTATAATGGTTTTGTAGTTACCCATCACTATACTACCTCTCTTATTTGTCTGCAGTGTACTGTGAATGACTGTTGTTATGGACCACTGGTGGACTGCATCAAACAGTATCCTTTCCCATAAAATTTTAGGTGCACAATTGACGAGCTTAGACTGTGTGGAAAAGATGTGTCTAGCTTTAACCTGACATAAAGTTCTGCTTCACAAAACACGGTTCATACTCCTCTGTTTTACATTCAATCAGCTAGAGGGTCACTGCAGAGCTTTCTTTCATATTGTTTAACAAAAATCAGATGGACCACAGGATGTTGTCAGTTTGGTAGCTACACGTTCATATGCCTGATTGAACCTCTTTGGTTTTGATTAGTTGAAATGCATGTCTGGGTTTCTGTTAAGACTAGTTGACCATGCTTTGAGCGTTGGAGTTGGAGTAGATGATCTCTGGAGATACTTTCCAATCTCAACTATTTTGTGGTTAAATTAATAAGTTGCATAGATACTGTTCAACATTATGGCCTGGCTGTATTATGAATCTGATTTTCAACCAGAATGTTTTTAGGTGCAATTCAGGTATGATTAACTGATTAGTATTTTTAAACTTGTGTCTGACATTCCAGTGCAGTTCTTTTACTTTCTCTTCTTAAAGAAAACGAGGCTAGCTGTAGAGAAAACACTATGTAGCTTGAACTTTAGGGGATATTTTTTCTGTAGTGTTGAAATGGTTAGAGATTCTCAGTATCCAATGAGAATACTGGGGCAACTCTACACAGTACTGGGCATTGAAGGTTAAGATTTTAATATGTTAAAATCTGACTGGGTAGCTCTTCTGTTCCAGTCTGCTATCAATGGAGCAGTTTTAAAATCATGGCCTGCTATCAGAGAGCAAGCTAGGAAGACAATTCCCTGCCAGGCCCTAGCAAACCTCTGCATAAATCTTGATGCGTACAGTTTGGGAGAAGATCTTGATTTCACTGTACAGTTGCAGGATAGAAAAGCTACAGTGATGTTAATTATGCATGAAGAACACCACTTCTTATAGTTGTGATACATGTGGTGGTCACACCTTAAAAAGACCTTCTTTGCACTAGAAGTACTTGCCTGGTGTCTACTGCAGACTCAGCCCTGCTCCCATTAACTTTAATAGCAGCCAGACAAGAGTTCTAATTGTATTTCTATTTTGTGGTTTTAATCGTAATTTTAGATATTCATTGAGACTGTCTTCAACATTAAGCACAACTCTCTGGAACTGCATTAGTCTAATAAGTTACACTTTTTAAAAGGTTGTTGATGCCTAATTTTCATATCCAGGATTTTGAGATTAATATTTTGCTGATGAACAATCTGGCTATAGTCTTCTGAAAGTGTCATGTTTAAAAGTAATAATAACACACATGTAGAATTATGGCGAGTTTTTAAGAATAACTTGCAAAGACCAGTCTTAAAAGATCTTTTCTGTCCTTTTCAGATTTTGGTTCAAGTGAAGTTATTGAATATGCAGTGACATCAGTGAGAATAATGAGGAGGTTTTCAATTCCATTTTGGTACAGAAAAGTTTTAATACTAAGCTATGCAAGTGCATTATCTGAAAGTATGTTGCTGAATTAGATGTTAATTCTGAGGTGCATAAAATAGTTAAAAATCAATTTAAAGTTAAGGTTTTAAAAGCATAATGTCTTCTGAAGGATTGCATATTGATTTTAAATATAACTATCTAATTGTATATGCATGGACTAAAGTATGAAGTCAACCTCTTTGTAAATGCCAAGAGGCTATTTTTCAGTAATAGTTCAGATGCTTACGGGAAGCTAGGCTGCTAGATTGCAGGAGTTGAAAATGGCTTGTGAGGTTATTTACAAGTTTTGCCCCATGGTCATTGCCATACATCAATAACAGGTATTATTATAGACTAAGTGTTTCTGCTTATGGTGCATTATAAATTCTGTTTGCAGTACTTTTCTTACATTTTTGCTGTTCTTCATTTGCCCCTTTTGTTCTGTAAACGGCTAATAGAGTTTAACACAGTATATGGCTTCAGTTGATAAAAACTGTATATATATATATATATGAAATTATTCCAAACAATTAGTTTTTTTGCTGTTCAACATAAAATGTGGATATAAATTAAGTAACTAATTCTTAATAGTAAGATAATCTGTAGCTTAAGTTTCCAAAAGTTATTCTAAACAGAATTAGGAACTTAACTGTTTTTAATGTAGGAACCTTTATTATGATATTCCATAAGATTCTTCTTAAAGGCTTCCAGAATAGAACTTTGACCTCCAGGAGAATACATTAAAAATGTTTGATGTGGTGACTTTTTTACATATCGCTAAGAGTAGCACATTGGATCAGCAGGCCATCAGTGAAGTGAAAACCTGATCTAGTGGGAGATGTCCCTGCCTGTGGCAGGGGGTTTGGAACTAGGTGATCTTTCAACAAATCTATGATTCTATTCTATGATTCTAAAAGGACTTCACTGTAAAATATTATTTCATCCTTCCCTGACATAGTTCATGCTTCTGAAAAATCAGTTAAAAGGATGTTTTGTTACAGTAAAATGTTTCAGATGGATGTAATTTCTATCAATTTGAGAATATAAAGAAACAAGCTTATTTCATGCTTTGATCAATCAGAGACTTGATACACTAGTCAATGAAGAGAAATTTAAAAGGTATTTAATGACATTTTAAGCTCCCTGTCTTTTAAATTTGGGGGAGAAATAAAGCAAAAATTGAAATATTACCCTTATTTATACTGAATAAATATGGTCTAATAGGTCTTAATTTTTTAAAATGTGTGCTGATGACAATAGTCTGATTTTCACAAAGTGCTGTAAATACCTCTGAAAATCCCTTTAAGGAAGTTCAAATCACTGATCACTTCTGAAATGTAAATGAAGGCAAACAAATTTTTTCATCAATTAATTTACATATGATGATTTTCTGAAGATTTTTCTTTACCAAAGTAATCTTCCATTCCTTAACCTAAAGCTGTCAGCGCTATTGGGCATGAGCATGAAGTCTTGCTGCGAGAAATGCTTTTGGAAAAAAATCTGTCTTTCATCGGTAAGAATCTATAGGAGAGGCTAGCCAGTGAATCCTTAGCTTCAAAGGTTTCAGTAACTGTTTACTTAAGAAAAAATAAGCTTCAATGTTCTATGTATTAGGTAGTAAAGGAAGAGTAAAAAATGATTGATGCTGTACATGTTATCTTTTATTGATTTAGAACTGAGCAGGAACTCAGTTACCTAATACCCTATATATACACAGCACATGCACAGGCTTGCAATTAATATTTTATAGGATAAGTAGCTGAAAAAAATGCTTTAATATCTGCTGCAGTATTACTTTTGGTGTCATGAGATATTAGCCATAATCTAGGCCTTATGAGACTTAGGAGGAAACATACAAAATATTAGCTTCAAAATGCTTTATGTATTAAAGAAGTGCTGGAGGATTCACTCATTTAGCTTTCTGTACAGTTGCTGCGGAATTTTTGCCCCCTGCTTCCAAACCAATGCAAATATTCTTTTCACAATCACTACCTATATTTAAATTTATTTTAAGCATTAATTACTTGAGAAGTTATTTTCATTTTTTGCTTTTAGTCTGCATTGTGTTTCTTGTATATGAGTGCCATTAAAAGGATGATTAATGTTTAAAGCATCATTTCTGTTATTGTGATAATAAACTTAACAATGACTTCTTAAATCTTGGATTCCTTATGTGATGAGACAATAACAGAGTGAAATGCTGTCTCCTGTTAATGGTTGAGTGTTGTAGTAAACCAGGGAATTTTGCTGATTTTACTGGAAAATACAAGCTCTCCTAAAATTAGGTTTGGGTTAAGATTTTGGAGGCCTTAAATAAATTTAAGAAATTAAAAAGAGTAGTAAGGTCTTTAAAAGACTTGTCTATATGATTAAGGAATAGAGTTATTTTAGAGAAAAGTGAGAAAAAGACATGAGTAAATTTTGCTTGCCAACTTTAAAATGGCACTGAAAATGTGAGGAGGTAGTTCTTCCTGCTTGGTTGTAAGAGCAGAGATACAGGTGATAGGCTTAAATAATTGCAGAGATTCTGTTGAGTTAAAATACTAAACAGTAACTATAGAACCAGCTGCCAGGGATGGTTGTGGAATCATCTTCAATGAAAAATTCAGAGCTAGATTTGACACTCATCCGTCAAAGCTGGTAATGAAATCAGTCTTGTCACGATACAAGAGAATGGACTAGATGACTCACTAATGGATCCTCAGGCCAACAATTGTAATTTTATTTGGCTTGCGCAAGCTTCTGTAGTACACAAATTAGATTTAAATTTTAATGTTTCATGACCTTGGATAAGCATCAATTTTATCTTTAGAAATAAGCTCTAAGAAATTTGTGCTGTCAAATCAAAATATCTAGAATGGGTTAACCCATTAGAATATAAAGATAGAAATGGGAGAGCTTAATCTAGTGTTTTAATTTTATGTATACTGAAGTATTCTTTAGTTATGATTTACGATATGTTAACAGGTTATATTTATTATTTCTGTGCATTGCATTTGTAAGTTTCTAGAAAAAAAAAATTCCCTGAATATCTGCAAGATGAACCCTACTGAACCCCTCACAATAAAATCTTTCCTTTTGAAAAGCTTAGTTCTGAAACTGCTTGGAGAAAACCTCAGGAAAACAGAAGAGACTACATTATTTCCTATAGACCAACAAATTCAGGCTTTGTTAGGCTGTAAGTGAGACTGCATTCTAGTTTTGAAGGTGGCTTATGACTTAGATTGCTGTACTTGCAATTCCATCGCTTTTTAACATGTTGAAGAAGCAGAATTATTGCAGTTTCTGTGTTAGTGTGCTATTCCAGTATACTCTTTTTCAAGACTAGTAAGTTTTTTGTATCAGCTGTTTTCATCTTGGGCAGCACAGAGTCTATTACAGAAGAAAACACAGTCAAAGGACACAGTGAGTATAAATTGCTCCAGTATAGTGCTGGAGCATGAAACAGATTTCCAGGTCCAGGATGTAATTTGTTTCTGGAGCAGTTTGCTTTCAAAGCCTACAGATTAGAAGTAACACCTTCAGATTCATCCAGAAATTGATTGGAAACTTATGCAGACTGGTGGGTTTTGAATTTTGTCAATCCACTGTTCATGAGAAGCGCCTCATATACCATGTCCTCTCTTCAGTAAAAACACAACTGTCAAGTCTTTATCACTTTGCCTGAGATTAAAGTGATCAATGGAAGCATTCTTTCAGAACAGGCTAACAGCTTCCGTTGCCATACTGAAATGCCAGGAATTTCCAGGTTCCATATAGGTTCTATATTAGGAAAGCTTTTAGCTATATGAGGAGTTACTGACCTTCGTCTGGAAGCTTATCTTCCTTTGGTTCCCACTGTGATGTCCCTCAGTAGTACCCTGGATATAAATCATGAAATCTGATCAGTGTTTTCTGCTGTAATCTTAAATTTGCAGTTGCTGCTCGTTCATGCACCAGCAGAAGAATGTTTGATTTCTTTGTTATATCCAGAGGCTAGTATAAGAACAATGATGTGTTAAATGGTTATGACTGAGTGTGAAGTTATGGTAAAGATGAAGGTGCAGTTTTGTTGGAAATTTGAATTAATTTGTAGAGATATATTAGGGCTGTTGCAGTGTAATTTTCACATCCAAGGATGCATAAATGTACCTGTCAGACTGCTGTGGGATGGCTTTCAAGCAGTTGTTAGATTACACTCTTAATCCATGCTAGAGCTAAAAGATCTTTTGAGGTGCAGAATGCTACCTTTGTAGCTTCTGGACCAATCTGAAACATACCTGGACTGAAAAACTGGAACTTCTTTTCTTTTGGTGAGGTTTTGGTTTGAAAAAAAAGTTTATGGTGACCATGGGGAGTTTCTATAATTATTTTATTTTCTTCCCCAAAGTTATAAAGCTTCAAAACACTTTAAAAACAGTGATATGTAATACTTTTCCTGCACATGATAGACAACTCACATCAATAATAAATGTATTTTAACATATTTTCCAGTGTTTATCACAATAGAAAATGTTAGGAGAAACCAAATGAGAACATTCAGAAACAGATTTAAAGCAAGAAAGATGTTCTTTTTCAAGCCATGCATTAGCATCACATGATTTTAAAAGTAATCAAGCATCCTTGAAAACAGAATCTGCTAAAAAACATTAGAAGTAATGCTGATACAAATTCCAGTTCAGAGACCTGCCCAGTTGACTTATCAAGAAATGTATTTACATCTGTCCTGATTTTCAGTGGGTTTTTTAAGGTACTTTTCCATGAATTTGTGGTACTAGCATTTGTTAGATGTGAAGGACAACTTCCCTCTGTTTTTTTTGTGTGTTTTTAAATAATTAAATAATGAAGATTTCAGCTGAGACATCCTTTTGTCTTTTCTAGACTGTTCTTAACACCTAAGGGCAGGTTATGGTTAAATAGAATTGGATGGAGTTTATTTTTATCAGGATTAAAATGTTACATAAAATATTAATTCATTTTTATGTTATGGCATACAACTCTATTCGTAGGTTCTGTTAAATTAGAACCTTATTAATGTTAACATCTTTTATCAGTATTCCTGGGTTTGACAAATTAGTCAGCAACCAAATCTGTCTCCAAACCCTAGAAAAGTTTAACAGATGCAAAGACTTGTATTTACAATTTATTGTAAATTGTATTTACAATTTATTATGCAAACAGTGGAGAAATACTCTCACATTTCAAAAGAAATACTACAATACTATCAAAAAGAATAACCAACTATTGCAGTTTAGACTTAAGTGAATGTACAGCTTTCCAAAATTATTCTAGTCCCACTTTCAGGATGAGTTCACTATAGAAAAAAATACTTCAGGCTTACATTCTTCAGTGAGAAAGAGAGGGGAAGTTTGCTTTAGGCACTTCTAAAATATTTTGATTTCTAAGGGTGTGTGTTTTTCTTGTCATTAAAATGTTACTTGGACTCAAACTGCTGACCTGTCAGGGTATGCACAAAGTATTCAAAAACTGGGTTCTGAACATTGGCCATGAAACTACTGTCCTAACCTGATAAATGGATTGGAAATAAGCTACCCAACAGTGAGAATGGACCATTAATTTTAATCAAAGGTGATGTAGAAAGGCGAATGGGATGCATGGCAATGTCAACAGCCCAGTAGGTGTTAAGGGGCTACACAGCCTTACTTGTTACTAGGTAGTGCCATTAGTTGAGCTTGGGTGAAGACAGAAAGCCATGCCTGGAATTGAATGACCAGGTCACTCCAAATTCTAATGGAGAAATGGTGTTTCAGAAATACCAATGTAATGGTATTGGAAATCAAGGACAGTAGTTTAGAAAATATTAAGGGCTTGCTTGGGCTGCCTTTTTTTTTTAAAACAAAAAAAAAGGGAGCATCTTTTGTCATTCACAGTTTTGTCTTGCTCACTCATTATTGTTCTTGAAATATTCAGCCCTCATATTTGTAATCAATAGAGTTGTATAGTTATTGTTAGCAGAATTTCTAAATCTTTGTATGTTTTGAAATTGGATAAGTTCTGTAGGATGCAGGAAGCAAGAGAAATTAAAACAGTAGTTTCTCCTTTAATAGATTTCTGCAAGAGGAGGATCTTCTTTTTCTAAAAATTTTATGCTTATAATTAAAAAAAAAAAAAATAACACCAAGAAGGCAGCTACAGTATGTCTGCGTTTGTGGTGCTGATAGGAAGAGCTGAGATTAATCCTAATGTAGGGAGACTCTTCTTTCAATCAGCAAATATACCTCTATTTTGAATATTTGGGGGTTATAAAATACTGTATGACAGCTTGAATTAATGATGTTTATAATGAAGACATAAAAATGCAGGAATGACAAAGAAGCATTTTTATATCCATGCTTCAGGTTTTCTACAAAGGTTCATTTAATCTGACACAGCATTACATGAATAAGAAAGATATGTATGACTGCATTAGTAATTCTTGCATTCTTATTTAAAATAAAATTAATCATGCTGCTGTCTACATAATAGAATAGTTTTATAAACAATACTTCTTATTCTCTATGTATAGCTGAAGATCAGCTTCGTGCAAAGGGTTATGACAAAACACCAGACTTTATTTTAGAAGTGCCAATAGGTAAGTCTTTTAAAAGAATTTTTATCATTGTTATTACTTTGTGTAGAAGTGTTCATGCTAAAATATTATGGCTTCTTAAGTGAAGTATATTATGGGATATTACAAATACATCTCATTTTTTCAGTAGTTACCCAACAATTTTAAGAACTTGAAGACTGGGTCAGAGAGATTTGCTCATAAGTAGTATTAACCAGTGTTTCCTCTTTGGTCTTTGCATATTTTTTTTTCTCATCATCACAAAAAGAAAGAAAAAATAACCCAAGCAACAGTAAGAACCCCCAAATCACTGCCCCCTCTAATGTGGTCTGCCCACTGTCTTTATGAACCAATGTCTGAAATACCTATTATCTTAAAATACTAGACTCAATTAGTTCAAAGCAGTTTGAAGAGCATTACTGTTAGACCTATAGGTCATTTGATAAAGGTGTCATTGTTCTTTTGCCATCACTTTGTATCTAAATACAACTGTGCAGTTCTCTATTGTTTTTTAAAAACCTGTATGGCAAGAAGGAGTAAAAGTAGGTATAAAGGTCCTGTCAAAGTTCATCTACATTTTCTGGTCTCGAGGCATGTAGGAAGGTAATCAGATGACCTAGTGGATGGACCATGGATTAAAAAACATCCATGTTGTCCAAGGGGTAAAGGATTATTAATCACTTTTTGTAAATTGACTTTCATGCCAAAAGACATGTGCTTTGCCTCCACAGAATGTAGCACCCATCTATGCAGATGTCTACTTTTTTGTATGTCCCAGAAAATAAGAAGGCTGAAAGCATTGTGTGAAAGTCATTTACATGACTGGTATTTTGTTCTTCATATTGAAACAGTTGGAATTCTCACTGAGATAACTGATTTATAAACTGAGTCTCACTACTCAGAAGTGCTTGAGATACCATCTTTCAGCACAATAATTTTGTTATCCAGTAGATAAGTAGCTATGTATAGAAGAGTCTGAATAGTTTTTAAAGAAAACTGAATAGTTTTTAAAGACACCTTAGCTTAATGATGCTTGTATTACTAATCATGTCTCCAAAATGAAAAATGATAGTGATGTTAATTAAAGGTTATCTGTACAAAATAAACCAACATCTTTGTAATTGAAGTACTCCATGTTTGAAAGAGTGAGATTTGACATCCTAACGATCAGCAGTTCACTTGTCAAGCCACATCTGGCGAGTTCTCAATTAATTTCTACATTTTTGTTTCCATAATTCTTATTTGTGGAGGGTCTTAGGAAGCTATCAAGGACTTGAGGGGGTGCAGGAACACTTTTTATCACGTCTAGAGTTAGAAGGGAAAACTGTGAAATTACAGAATCACAGAATGGCTGAGGCTGAAAGGGACTTCTGGTGGGCATCTACTTAAGCAGGTTCCTGGAGCTGGTTGCACAGGACCATGTCCAGGCAGCTTTTGAATATCTCCAAGGATGGAGACTCCACAATGTCTCTGGGCTAATGCTTAGTCACCCTCACAGTAAAAAAAATTGTAGTTGGTATTAAGATAGTCACTTTTACATTAGAAACCTAGAAGTTTGTATGCCAGATAGTTAGGAGCCATATTGAATGGAAACTATAAAAGCAACAAGATGGAGCTAATTTTTTTAATGCTTCAGAAAGGAAACTGGGAAACACTCAAAAGAATTCTTAGGTATGTAATATTACTAAAGTATTAGAAAAAAAGGTTAATAGCTATTAATTTGTTGCATGGATTTGTCTTTAAAAATCTGAGTATTGATAGGTCATTACTTTTTTCAAATTATTTCAGCCACTTGAGATTGACAGGGAATTATTTTGTACCTGTTGTCTGATCTGAACTAATGTATGGCAGTCCTTGCATTCACTTCTCCATGACTCCATACATAGATGGAAAGACAGATATTTCTTAGAAATTGCTTCTCAATGGACTACACAGTTTATGCCTCAGCTGTTACACCTCCTGGGGTCTAAAGGTACTGGGAGGGCCTTGGGCATGGGGGAAAGATGTAGTAGTATAGGCCTACACTAGTTAACTTGGTTACTGATAGCAGGGTAGTGGTGGCATATAGAGTTTAGTGTGGTGACTTCATGAGTTATTTACCCAGGTTTCCTGAGTTATTTTTACAGTCTGTGATGAATCATGTGCTGTTATAGCCTCTTCTCATCTTTATGTATTATGCTTCTGGGTCTGTATGCTATTTTGAGTACCTCATCCCTGGTCAAACCTAGGCTAAGACATCATGGCCATGGATATTATAAGCAACTCAAAATAAAGGAAGCATTTTTAAAGCCCTCAGTACTGGTATCCCACAATACGTTCTTGGAGAAATACGAACTTTTATAGTCAATCTTGTGATTTCTCCTGCAAAATTAGATTGTCAACAACAGAGAGGACTTTGCTTTTATCAAAAAGTAGTAATTTTATTAGTATTAGAAATTTAGTCCTTCAAGAAATGAGGAAAGACATGAAGCAAAGCAAATCCAACAGCACTGAAAGAAACAGAAATTTAAAATCACATTTTTTCATGTAAGCTTTATTCCTAACTTCTTTTTGGTGAAGCACTACTGATTTTGCAAATGTAAGGAACCAGATACATATCTATGACAGACTTCCTTGCCATTCTCACACCTTCTACTCTGGACTGCTAAGAAGTTTCAGTCTCTACCAGCTTAGATAACTGTTCTTGTTATTCATCAGAAGTTTGCAATTCCTTACCTGACAACTCCTTTCCAGCAAAGTAAGGGTGAAAGTAGGATGCAATTGCACCTTAGTCTAGCCTTTTTTCTTTACATTTTTTTGTGTTAGAATAAATGCAGATATCTAGAACAGGGTGTAATTAATCTGAAATTGATATAGTTATCTATTAAAATATTTTCTGGTACTTTAAGAAAAAGAATGTCCTATGTGAAAGATACTTTTACAAATATGTTGCAAGTATGAATTATTTAGTAGATTGGGGGATAAGTAGGGTATTCACAAACACATTCTTACAGGCTGTTGAGTGTGATTTTCAGAGTTCAGTTTATTTTCTGCTGTCACTCTAGCTGTTGAAGGACACATAATTCACTGGATTGAAAGCAAAGCCTCATTCGGTGATGAAAGTAGCCACCAAGCCTACTTGCAGGACCAGTTTTGGAGCTACTGGAACAGGTATGTTTCTGTTATTTTTCCTTATCTATAAATAGGACTACGTTTTAAAAAAGAAGTTACTAGAAAAACAGCTAGTGAATTTTGTATTAAGCCATGTGTCCAAGATACATGTCTGGCATTTTGAATGTCATTAATTACTATGTCAAATTAGAATGCTGGATTATTTGTGAAAAATTCACTTCATAATTGTTAACATGCAGCAGATATATGTGGTGATTTTACAAGGAAGCTAGATGACAGAATAAGTTGATTTGGTACAGAAGTTATGTGTCAAATTTTTTTAGTACCTGACTTTGAAGGAAAATATTGCTGTAACATTTTGTAATACCTGCAAGGTACCAAAGTTGTTATAAAATCTTCATAGTCAAACCAAGTGGGCTTTGTGTGTAAAGAACTTTATTGCTCATTGTGATTTTATCTAGGACAATACTGTTTCACTGGGAGTGTTTTAATAAAGTATAGGGGGTTATGTTACTGATGTTTTAAGCAGTAATGACAATTATCTTCAAGCTAAAAATGTAGTTAGTATTTGCAGGAATGTAAAGAGGGAGATAAGTTATGCCAGACAGAATTTTTGAACATGTTGATGGTATTGTTACGCAGTTCTTTTAAAGATGGTTAAAATAGTTCTGCTTTATTCTTATAAAGGTCATTATTGTATATATTTGTATATATCTTTCTGTGGTACTAAAAGGCTCCTCACTGGAGGATTTCTCTTCCAAAAAAAAAGTCTTAAACAAGATGCTTCATCTTTAATTCCATTTTTGTATCCAAAGTAGTTAAAGAGGTAAATGAAAGTTTTAATACAGAATTTTTAAAACCACACATTTACAAGTCTGTTCAGTGTTCACAAAGAGAATCGATAAAATTTGAGTGATGGTGGAGATGATGGCACAAAAATGTGTGAACGTACAACAAATAGACAATATTTGCCAACATCAGAGTCTAGCCTTTTGACTGTATTTCAGCTGAATATGAGAAATGCAAGATGAAAAAAAGCTAGCCTTAGTTTAGGAAATACCTTAAAAGAAGATTCTGTACAGGCATCAGAGAAAGGGAAAAGAAATCCTGAGAATAACATCATCAGAGTTCAGAGTTACGCTCTCTAGCAACATTCTTGCTTGACATGAGGACCTGCTCTTATTTGACAATCCCAGAAAGCAGTGACTTGGAAAACTTTAATCAAAGTAATAGGAACCTCAGGAAGACTGTCAGTTGTTGGATGAAGATCTACCTGGAAAGACGTAGAAGAGAATTTATGAAACATATAACCAGAATAGGTAAATGGTAAGAATGGATGAAATGTGGATCAATGAGACTGTTTTGGAAGTAGTTTTGAGGTTTTGCCAAATCTTTTGTTATAGATGTTCATGTTGAAAACAACTATAAATATTGTTGATTCTTAAAAGTACTGACTTTGCATTCATATAAAGGAAACTAGAAATCTCCTGAGTTAAATCTCTTACTCTCTAAATCCACAATTTAGTGATAGGTTAACTATGGAAATTAGGCAGATTTCTGTGTGTTTTTTTTAAAGAACAAATCCTATTAGCTTTAACTTTGGTACTGCTTGGCCAAACTAACATCTATCACATCTTCTGAAATGAGTTCTGAGTTACTGCAGTTTCTAATATAATGACAGTTGGGTTAATGAACACACGTTGACAGATTAGGTTGCATCTCGGTTGGACAGTTAACTTTCATTGCTCTCAGAAACTATACAAAAGGACACAGGTGTAGCTGCACAAACTGTGAATGATTTAATCAGCCTATGCAAGTATTTCTCAGGTGAAAACCAGTTCCCAGTCAGTTCAGCACACTTGTGTGTCTCCTTTCCTCTTGAAAGAGGAATTATTTGGAGGAGCATCAGTTCACCATAGAAATATCATGACACTCAGCTGATAGTTTAGGGTTCTGTAAAGCTGATCTGTTGGTTCTGCGTAAAGCTGACATGAAATTTAAGGGAAAAATTGTAACATTGCCTCCTAGATGTAGATAGAAGTGCGTGTCTAGATATTCTGAAAGGAATGAAGCTTAGGGGGTTTAGACCATTTCCATTCATTTTTTTTATTGTTGTTTCTCTGAAAAGTATGAGTGAGACTGGAAAAATTTCTAAGTTTTTTTCCCCACATCGGTCATAGATGTAATATTAATTCTGCACACAATCTGACTGAAAGCTTTGAACATAGCTGTGGTTTGTTTGCTGTTATGCGTGTATTTCATTAAATCCTGTACTCTGTGCTAACTAAATCTGTGAGTGTCTTAAATTGGTCTGTACTGACAGGAAAGAAATGGCACTTTCTCATTTAACAGAACAGCTCCCTAGATGCAGTCAACCATGTCTGTTCACCTCAGTGCAAAAGAACACCTTTTTATTACTCGGAGTTCTGCAGGGACAGCTTAGCAAGGTTTTTTATGGCTCATACATCAATGGTATTGTTAAGCAATTTTCAGTTGCAGTGCTGCACTGCAACCTCATCTTCAAATTAAGCTTCACATTAAAAATGTACAGAATATACCTTGTCAGTGGGTTTGCACAGCTGTAATTTAAAATACTGTTTAGATATTGAGATTTTTCAACAATAAAGAAACAGGAAAAGGAAAGTTTGGTCTTGCAGTCTTCCCAGACTGATTTTGCAGGGTGATGTTTTATAAAAAAAAAGCTATCATGTCCTGAAAAGACTTAGTATAAAATGATTCATGTACTTACACAATCCACTTCCTCCGTGTTTGTTCCTTGAATGTGGAGGTAGCCACAAAGCAGTCTATAGCTTTCACAGCCACTGGCTAAACAAGACAACTGCTTGTGCAAAGTACAACTGCTTTGTGCGTATGTAATATGTACATTGCACACTGGTCTACATTGGTGTATTTCTTTGAACTATGAGGATAAAAACTATTGAACAGTCTCTGTGACCAAAGGTAATTTGGAGAGAATGAACAGGAAGCCATACAGACTGCACTTTGAAACAGGGTCTAAGAACATGCTGTAAATTATTTTAGAGTTTAAATGAATGGTGCTGGGTTTTTTTCCCCCATAGTGTCTAATTATATAATTTTTTCTAACTTCAATTAAAAATTGAAGTCCTATCTGTAAAAGTCTGTAAGTCAGAGCTGATAGGCATGATTGCTGTTTTCTAGGAGGCATATATAGATCAGCAACACACAGTTCTAATAGTACTTAGTGAGTGCACTGTTGGTGACTTGCTCTAAGAAAATATAAACTCAAATAGAGCAATTTACATTTTCTAACTTTTGCAAGCCTGGCTAAGGCATATGTACATTCTGGAATGTCATTTCTAGAGAGTCACAGAAAAAAGATTGACGCTGTTATTAGCTAAAGAAGTTTTACTATATGAGAGGAAGACTGTAGGAAAATGCCATATTCGACACTGATATTAAACTAAAGGCAATTTCACACAGTGAAAAAGCAGCACTTAATGTTCTCTTTGAGTAAGAACGGCAAGTCAACCCTGTACTAAATTACATCCCCCATTGGCTTGTATTCTGTTGTTAGTCCTGTGCTTCTGCTTTTTTGAAAGAATAAAGAAAAGCAAGTTTCCCATAATTAATTTTAAAATAGTAACTATGCTTTCTAGAAACCTAAATTTGTTATTAAATGTGTTGTTAATTAGTACATTATGTCTGCAAGTGAGACTTCATAGTAAAATTATCTAACAAACATAGTAAAATTGTTACAGAATCCTGTAGGCTTGAAAAGGTATTTGATCAATGCAAGCAGAGACAATGCAAAGGACTGTATTTCAGTCACAAACACAGCGGTTCTTAGAGTTTTTTTGAGAAGACTGTTCTTTTCAAATTCATTTGCAGTTGTCTATAAGGATGAATCATATGTGAGCAAAGGCTGAATAAGAACATCAGAGCAATAAACAATTTTTTTGTTTAGCTGTTTAAAATGGCTTGACATATTACTGTGAAGACTGTTTAAGTAATAATTGTCTGATTGTAGGTGGTAGGGGAAGAGGGAGTTACGCCGTTGGTTTATGGATGTATGTTCTGTAACGATCAATAGTCTCCAGTTGCAAATGGTTTAAAAAGTTGTACCGATGAGTTGAAAGCTAGTGGTATAACAAGTTGACTTGGCAGAAACCTTGGGAGTTGCGTTTGTCAAGTGGCTAGGAAAACTGTTCATGCATACCCAGTATCCAAAGCTTCATTGGCAGCCCAAATATAAGGACCTGAAAGGTCATTCTTCTTCTTGCAGTATGATGGTTTGTTGACATATTTTGACACGCTGGTACAATGCTGAAAGGTTTTGACCTTACTGCAACACTGGGGGACATAAGGTTTGTTTAGCTATCTAGTGCTTGTAGATTTTCACACATACTGGGTTTTGCTCTGCCTCTTTTTCTCTCCCTCCTGGTTCCACTTGAATTAGTAAATTAATCTTTAACAAAAGTGGACTTAGATAGAAGAGTGACTTTATGATTATTTTTGCTGCCTAGGACTATATACAGATAAATTTCTTCAAAAATTATTCACTTTTTTAAAATTTGCCATGCCAACTTGATGACCTTAGTAGCACTGAGTAAGATATATTTGTTTATAGACAAGATGAGAGTCAAAAGCAGTGAAGAGTGACATTTTCTGCTAGTTTATTGATTGAGTACTTTACTTTGTGAAGACGATAAAATTCTGTGTTCTGTGAGATTAACAGAGATGTGTGCACACTCACACACATGTAGGCATACCTCTGCACTTCACAAGTGTTCTAGATACATTAAGCTTATTCCCAATAGTATTTATTTAATGACACAGGAACAATATAAAACTCAACATGTAGTTTATGAAAAATATTTGGGTTGTTTTTTTTTTTACTTTAGCTCAAAAGTAATGTTTTTAGGACCAGTCATCCTGTCTTTAACAACAAGATTGAGTAACAGAGCCTGAAGAGATTTTCCATTGAAATGACAGCTTATACATATCATTGCTATGACGTTAAGTCGTTTGGCTGAGCATTGTAGTGTGTTTTATTTTGT